ATGTCACGGATACCTTCTCACCAAACCCTGACCCTTTCATAGTCTGCCGCTCTCTCCAACAACACCTACAATACGCGTGATGATTCCTACCATATAGTTTTCACCTAGAACAAAAACCTTCTTCCGGTCTTTCATATCAACAATATGTACTATTCCCACGACAAACCACGTACTCAAGATAGTACCTAGACAAACGGTGAAACTGGCAGCTGGATTAAAACGTGCAGACTGTATACAGACATCTGCTAGAAGCTGCACTACTTGCACTCATTTGAACATATGGACTTTTCGACAGCAAAGAACTCCAACATATTTCGTATTCGGTCCTTCCGATCCAAATATCAACACTATGTCACCATTCCATTCACGTCGGCCTAAACATCCCCTATGTCCTAGACCAAATCCCGATATCTTTACATTGCAGATCACATAAATTTCTCACCTTAATCTATTGATAAATAATTTATGGCTTATCTATAAATCTCAGTCACAGCAGCGATTACAGCGAAAATGTGATTTTATCGTCCTAAATAGTTGTATTCAGTACCGAGACCGGGTGAGTGATTGAGTGAGTGAGTGAGTGAAAGATAGATAGATAGATAGAGAGAGAGAGAGAGAGAGAGAGAGTGGTAGAGAGAGAGAGAAAGAGAAAGAGAAAGAGAGAGAGAGAGAGACAGATAGGGAGAGAGTTTCTAGCGAAATATATAGTACCCCACAGTCTCACCAAGTTAGGCTCGTTTTTAGAATAAAATTGTGTTTAGAGTGAAAGGCGGGAGGCACTGGCGACATATCAATTACCCTTGCGACTCCCACAATTCTATCTGTACATATTGTATAAATGTAATTATTAGATTGAATGTTTATGTATGTGTAGGTGGGTCTGAGTCGGAATATAGAGCCGGAATATAGAATATAATACCTCACGGACCCACCACCCTAGATTAGTTTTACATATATATTTTTTGTGATTGTGGGAGAGACACAGGCCCGGCACGTCCCAAATCTTTAATTGTAAGCATAGTATGAACATTCCTAGTTAGTGTGAATATATTTATTAGCGTGAATTATGGTGGGCAGTGCCTGGGGAGCACAAACCCCTCTTCGTAATTTCACCATCGTTATGGTAGATCCTCAATGGAATATCCAGTACCCTGAGATACTACGTACGTATATGTGTTCATGAGTTGCAGAGCCTTTTCACCACATGTGCAAGGACTAATTATAAATGATAATAAAGTGCCAAAAGATCCATCAAAACTATACGATCGCCAGACTCAACCCATTCAGTAGTATGGCCCAATTTTGTCCATAAAAATGCGAGGTACGGTCAATACCCGTGGTAGCTAGCCGGCCATAAAAAAAAAATCTAGCCCATCATACTCTTCTACTTACGAACCATCCCAAACGGCTAAAGTGTTAAAGTGTTGTTATAAAATTACAATTGTCTATGCCCTTCCGAGATTTTGAGATTTTTATCTGCTAAATGTGCTAACGTGAAAAGAAAACACTCTGTTCCTTTGTCGACTTCCGAGGAATATATCTCCTTCATCGGTACTTCGAAAATATAGTTATTAATTTCATAAGTTAGCGAATACGAATATATGAGTAAATTTACAGTGAGCAAGATCAAACATGGTCTGCCCATTCTAAAATAAACCAGAAGTACGATTTGTGAGTTCTTGTTATGTGGTAAAATTGCGACATTATCTAATCAAAACTTTTATCCTGCTGAGCTTAATAAGAAAGTGAAAAGAAAACAAAAAGCCTAAATTTAAAATAATTTACAAAATAGGCCAATAGCACAAAATATCACGATATTCACGCGCTTAACACGATTAGAACGGTTTGCGCGAATACCCCTATTATTTATCCTCAGTTGGGAATTGTCTTGTTGCTCTTGTTGGTCGACCGTACTGTTTTGCATTGTTCAACGCGTCTGCAATTCCCAACTGAGCGTTTTGCCAGGGATTCAGGATGTATTACGGATAGTGCTGACTGCGACGGAATAAAATGATGGATGGCCGGGGGGTGTTGGATCCGAAGGGAATTTTGTCAATTTGTTACCGGTCATACAAGCAGTCATCAATTAATTGGTTCAGGGGCTTAGGAGACGTTTCAAATGACAAATCACTATAATACGTTTCCGACATACAACTTCAACACATACTCGACCAATAGAGGAGCGTTAATTTAAAGATTTTTAGTACTGTGTTGTATTTTTGGACAAACGAGCAAACAAAAATGAATTATTTCGGGTGTATTTTGAAGCGTTCATTAATTAAAAGTAAAATTCAAACTAAATCTGCAGATTATTGAATCATTTTTAAAGCTCGCCCACTTTTTTTTCATTTCTCCTCACTCTTGTATTTAAGTACTTTTAATTAAGCGTTGTGATTTATCGAGATATTTCTTCAATACAGATCGATCCGGTTATAATTGTGTTCCGAATTTAATAAACATTTTTGGACGTAATGAAAATAAATTGAAGGATCATTTGTTTTCCAAGTGGTTCATTCGGTTTTAAAGAAGTCTGTTTACTTCCAAACCAGTTGAAATATTCTATTAAAATTACGAAACGAATTAATTATATCATTTTGGGCATTGTTGTCAAGGATCGGGAACAAAAATGGAAATAAGGTGGATAAAAAAAAATTGAAATTACTCCTTTATTTTTCTCAACTGTTGCACCATTTGTTATTTTGCAATAGCTTTTAGTTCATCACATAGCCCTTCCTTAGCCTTCTGTCGTTTACATTAAAGTAACCGATTTTACAAACTCAACAGACAATAAATAAATATTATAGCTGGCCCGAAAGAAGTCAAAAAATAAAAATTGGTGGAACAGTTCAGAAAAATAAAGGTATAATTATTAAGTAAAACACCATTATAGTTTCACGAAAAACATGCAAAAGAAGCAATTAAGTTTTTAATCCTTTTTAAAAAGATAGTTCCTACTCACATTAAGTTGTTTCGCAACAATCCGGATTTCAAGCCTTTTAGCTCATCGTCAGGTTGAAGGGTTTGACGATGAGCTAAAGGGCTCGAAATCCGGATTGTTGCGAAACAACTTAATGTGAGTAGGAACCATCTTTTTAAAAAGGATTGAACTCCACACTCACCCCATCATTTATAATTTCTATTAAGTTTTTATGTTGTTACCTTTGTTTAAAAAATATTGAAACAGTAGCGAAGTAAGCAAAAGATAAATAAAATCGGTGATCCCACGGCCTTTCCTTGTTACTAGCAATATTATTTACTATTAAATCTATTATATTTCGTGGTCGGATTGGCCAAATAACTTCTTTCAATTAATTAATATTTATGTAAGGCATTGGTTGAAATAAAAAAGTTAGTCACGAGCGGGATTCGAACCCACCATCCGAAGGTCGTGACACTAACTTTTATTCATTTCAACCAATGCCTTACATAAATATTAATTAATTGAAAGGAATTATTTACTATATTTCACTCATTCGTCATAAATTACCTATTCCTATTGTACTGTGTAATATAATGTTTCCGTTATGCATGAGGTTATTTTTAGGTTTTTTCAATAATACACTGATGGACAAAATTAACGCGCCACTTTTAAATTTTAATATATTTAGATGTATTCATATTTTCACACCAATAATAGGTTTGGTTGTAAAAAGAAGATATTTAAAAATTAAATATTTATTACCTAATTCAAAAAAAAATATTGAGAAAAAAAACTTTTTTTTGTCCCCTTTAATACTGAGTACTTTCACCACTGGCACGAATCACACCTTTGCATTCCTTGGAAAAGATTTTTGATAAAATCCTGAGGAATTCTTTCCCATTGATCAAGTACAGCAGTTGCTAACTCTTCTGGGATGTAAGGACTGTTTTGCCGTCTTGCTCGTCACTTAAGTGGTCCCAAATGAATTCGATTCCGTTCAAATCTAGACATCGAGCTGGCCACGCCAAGCACTCAATTCCAGGTAGTCATCCACAATACGTGCGCTATGGTGACTGGCATTATCCAGCATTAGCAAGAATCTTTCACCGTGTGGGGCAAATAGCACTACATGTTCTTCGATGTCTTGTAAGTACTTCCGTGAAGTTAGAGACCTTCCTCGCACAACAACGATTCGGGCGTCTAAGGAAATGTAACCCCAGAACATCAATGTCCTACCATGAAATGCCACCTGAAGAACCATACAGCATGGGGCGTGCCTTTCTCCTGAACCTGTCTGCATATAAAATTGCGCCCATATGAAAATTTGAGGCCAACTCTCACCTCACCTGTAAAGAGAACTTGTTCCCTATCATCCAATATCCGATTCACATGTTTCCTTGCGAATTGAGGCCTGACCATTTTCTGATCTGTGGTAAGAAGAGGTCCTCGAGCTGGATGCCAAGCTCTGAGGTTATTTTTATTGATCCTTCTTCTTACAGTCTTGGAGGAAATGATGACGATTGAATCTATCGTCTCTCTTGTCAGTATACCCAGGTCGACTCTGTCCTGGTTTTCCAGTGAGAATCCCTGTTTCTCTGAAGCGCCGAAGAACCCTTCCTATTGTATCCTTCCCCTAAATAATGTTATGTCCCTAACACTGTCATACTCACTCAAATGCCTGACTAGAGCCATTGAAAACGGTTTAAGAATAAGGACAATAACAAATGAAAATAACGAAAGAAAAAGATTAACTGAAAGCGATCTTTAGGCATAGCAGAATGGAAGGGCATAATGCTACTTTTTGTGTAAATGGGAATAATCCGTATAAAGGTAAATAACGGAGGTAAACAAAACATTATTTACTGTTTATTTTTACTACGTTAGCTCCTAATTACCTGTAACTAATGTAGAAAGATAAGAGAATTAATTTTAAACTAAATTGAGTGGTGCGTTAAATTTTTCCATCGGTGTATATTCATGTCCTAACTATAGCTTATTATACTACATCTTATATATCTGTATGATGCAAAATTCTAATTTGTATGAGTTAATTTATATTCTTTTTTGTTTGTCTTTCAAGCGAGGAGGGAGTGGAGGCGGAACAGGCGGACGATGATGATCCTCTCGTGTATAGCTATAGTGTTCGCTTTGAGTTGGCTTCCTATGACGGCGTTCAACCTGCTCATCGAGTTCCAACCCGGGCTGCTGACTCCTCCGAGAACCCTCTACTTGGTATTCGCCCTCTGCCACATCATGGCCATGTCGACGGCGGTGACCAACCCTCTGATGTACGGCTGGCTCAACACCAACTTCCGTCGGGAGTTCAGGTTTCTCGGCGGTAGCGACAAGTCTTCGGAGAAGAAGCGAAGAGCGGCGAACCGCAACAGGAGGATTAGCGCGCCTCAGAGTATCGTCATACGGCACGACAGGAGGACGAGCATGACCTGCTTCACGACCATCACCTCCTCCAACACGACCAGGCCGTCGACCACTCTCACACTTCTGCCGCACAGCAGTGTCGACAATCTCTAACTTTAACTTCTAAATGACGTCGAAAACGCCTTAATCCTACATCAAAAGTTCCCAACCAAACCGTACACAGACGTTTATCCTATAATTGTGATAGGTGTGAATGATGCGCCCTAGATCGAAGGAGGTGTTGTCGGACGGGAACCGTGACCGTTTCTCGATACGGCACGACTGAGCCCCAAGTTCTCCGTCTGACAATGCTTTTCTCACAAAGCCCAAAGAAAACGAAAACAACTGATTCTACGGACCAATTTAACTGATTAGTTGAATAGTGGTCTAGCAATAATCCGAGAGGACTATATGTTTATATTTCATACCTAGTATAACTATGTGTTGATCTGTAATTGAATATTGATTAAACACCTGAAAAAGTGAAAATATTTGTATAAATTATAAATATAAGCAATATTTATTTACTGGCATGGCTTATTTCGAACAGATCACTTCAACTTCCTTCCACTAATTACCAACTTTACAGAAGATCCTCAGATTCAATTGAAAAAGATATTTAACCAGTATTTATACAAACCATTTAAATAAAATCCTCTAGATTATGCAAATACAAAAAAATGACTTACGACTCAATAAACAACAATGAACGTATTAACAGAACTTACATTACACATAAACATAAAATCAACAATACACACGTTCTCGATTATTACGGAAACTGTATTAAAACTCCAATTCGACATATGTATGTAGAAAATGATTGCAAAAAATCAAATGAACCACAGAAACTCTAGATGACCTCAAATACTGACGGACCATTAACACCACTATCTTCTGGAAAATACAGAAACTGCAATTAACAAAGTATAAACTACTTAACAGCAAAAGCATATTTGAACAAACTAAAAAAGGCATACAAAACAACGAAATGATATCACAAAAACAAACATTAAACTGGCCGCATTCGTATGCAAGAAATAGGAAAAATGATGTAAAAAAACAACCAACTTATTTAACAAATAATTTGTCTTTTGAGTCGCTTGTTTCTTATATTATTTAAATCGTTTATCAATTTATAGCTTAAGATAGAGGAATAGGAGAGGGACACTATAGTAATAATTGGAACCAGGGTTTGTTTTTCGTACGAAGATATCTTTATTTTATGCATTTGTTTTCATTTTCCACCGCATGTACCACTATTCAAGAGATCTGACATGGATTTGTAAGTTTCTGGTTGAGATTACCGGATATTTATGAGAGTACAGAAAGGCTATATCATTCGCGTAAGTGGTGGAATTTGACTTTCCTGCGCAGCTGTACCCGATCAAAATCCTGTTTCATATCGGCAATCCTTTCGCTCATGAGCCTTTGCGGATTTCTGGTCGAGATGATGGACTCTTTTTGAAAGCAAAGGAAGGCAGTATTATCCGCTTAGGTGAAACGAATAGTTTCAGAGAGGTTAGGAATTTCTGTGTAAACGATGAGTCCTAAGATGTTTCCTTGGGGTATGGTATGGTAATGAAGATACTAGGAAGTAGGGATAGTGCACCCCATGCACTGCTGCCTTCTTGCATATTGTGCTTTCCTAGCTCCTTAGTTCAGTAAAATTGACGCAATCGGCAATCATTCTTCTTAGAAGTATCAGGTCATTGACTGTCGCTGCTACTATTTCCTTTCCTAGATTTTCTCGTACGTTAGGGTAAATCTCTATTGAGCTGTTGCTTTGCATGGGTGGCTGTTTCCTCCTCCTCATTGCATAATCTACAGTTGAGATCATCGTTGTATATGACCATGTGTAGATGTTTTCTCAGATGCCAATGATTAGAAGTCCTATCACTCCTTTGAGTCCAGCCCTCTCCAGTTTATCCACTTATCCTTTTGTTTTGTTTGTATCCATTCTGCGATGGAGGATTGTATACAGTTTTTGTTATCCCAAGGGAAGGTTAGGGGCCTATGTATGGTCTTGCTGATCTTCCTCTGGCCAGTGTGTCTGTTTTCTCGTTATCAAAATTCCTCTATGCCCTGGTACCCAAGATATCATCAGGTTGCTGTTGTTTTAAAGGTTTTGGAGAATTTGGATGCATTCATTGACTGATTTTGAAGTGATTTTTTACACGATAATGCTTTAATGGCTGCTTGGCTATCAGATCTTATGAGGATTTTTTTACCAGTGTAACCACTTTTAATTTTCTTTCAAGATTTTCTAGGGCACAAGCGTTGATGGCAACAATGAGTTTGATTACTCATATTTTGGGCTTGTACAGAAAATGCCTGATCCGGTTTCTTCGTTTGTTTTGGAGCTATCTGTATACCAAATCATTGTATCTGGTGCTCTCCTGTGCCCTTCCTCCTTTGTAGTCCGTTGAGACTTTATAGGATGTTGTGAAGAATGTTTCCAGTTCCTCTGGGTACCACTGTATCTGTACGATAGCCAGCTGATTGAGAAGAGCCCACGATGACTAGAAAATGTCGATCGTTTAAGCAGGATTGTACAACCAGGTATTAGGTACAAGGTAGGCCTGTCTTAAGCAGTCAGAGAATCCACAAGTGCTAATCCTGATCGAAAGTATGCTTTACGTCTAGGAATACACTTGAACATTCCTTTCGCGCAAGAGAGGTAGCGATGATCTCTACAACACAATGGCACTGCTGACTAAAGGAATGCAAGCATCCGACCCCAATGGAAGAATGTGCTTATCGGAGCTTTTCTAGGATGTCAAGCAATAGACTGACGGTAGAATGATGAAAGGTGATGAAGGGTTTTAGTCTTTCATTCATCATTTAATGTAGGAATGGTTCCGTTTGGATGGAGCTTTTTTAGGTAGATATTGAAAGTTTTTGTACAGCAATTAGGCTCGAGGCATATTTAATGTAAAGTTATGTTTAAGGGTTTTTTTAACAACCAATTAAAAATTTTAACTGCTTTATGAGTGTTGAGTTTAAACATGAACGACGACCGTTTAATTGCTCTTGTTAGAAACCTTCAGCAAAAAAGTTAAAACATATAGCTTTATTTATTCCTGTTTATAATAAAACTGTGAGTATCTTTGAATAAAAGAATCGCGTTTGATTTTTAATAATAAATTAATGGAGTTTGATGAAATTCAAATCCGATTGTCTGAAGTGCCCGTGGAATTAAAAGACTTCAAATTTCAGATCCAAGCGATAGAAAAACATCTGAAAAGAAACTCGAACCCATCAGAGTTGACCCAGTTACGAAATTCTCTTGTTTTATATCGGGCTGTCACCGAATCCTACAAGGAATTGCCTAAGGGTTAATTCGATGAGATAAATGAAGTTTCCTTGTTTATTTCTACGTGTAAGTTTTTCTCCTTATCGCAAGTTGTTAAACTCCAGTTTCTTCTCCTACCCTCTCCCGTGTTTATCGACCGGCAGGCTTCGTTCTCATTTACTACTATATTCCCCTGTGTAAAAATATGTTGATCTGAGAATAAGTAAATTAGGAAATTTAATACTTTAAGACTCTTCCCATTAACTTTACTGGAAACCTTCACTATGTTTCCAGCTTGTTGAAATTATCAGGAAGGGGGTAATCTTTAAAGTAAAATTATGGGAAGGAAATTAAATTGCTGTCGTGTTTTATCATACATTCTTTGATGCCAAGTGCAAGAGATACGAGAGATTTCACCCCGGGGGGCAACACCGTTTAAAAAAACCTTTGCCGCAAATTCTGTCACATCTTCAAATCCTTAAACAGCTTCACAAAAAGTGCCCGAAAAAAGAAACCGTTGATCGTTTCTTACCCGGTTCAGATTGGGCTGGCATTTCTGTTTGAAGAAAGTGGAAAAAAGGGGAAAATCCAACAACTTGCTGATGGCAGTTCGGGCCCAGAACAAACAGCCAGTCGGGTTGTGTGCAACGACGCTGTATTTGCTTTCAGACTTTGCCAAATAAACAGTTTACCCTGACCTTCCTTAGTCTCCTTTCCCCATGGACTCATTTCACCACAATTCAAACAAGAACAGATAATTATTTCTTTTGCCTGTCAGTAATTATTAGAAGAATATTTATATCCTTAGTATTGCCTTGATGGTTTTCTCGTACAAAATAACAAGTTTCTTAATGATGTTCTATATTTTCTGATCGAATTCTGATCGAAAAGATGTTTAATTTAATTTTTTCCAGAATGTAAAGGTCAAAAACTACACATTCTGAGCCTTTTCTTGGATATTCTTCTTTCTTATTGATCGTATAAACTCTTGTCATCCCATTAGAAACGCTCAAATTAAATTATTTTTAATATAATTTGAACAACTAACAACTACCTTCAAGTAGGTAACAAGTAGCAGTGAGCAAGGTAATATATACACAATTAAAACTAAGAGTGGAGAAAACACTCATTGGTATGACTCCAATGTTACTAAAATATTGTCTGTTTAATTGATACTTGTGTCATTATCACTTTCACTATCATCACCATCATTTCCTAGGAGATCTCGTGGCCATTGTCTCTTCAGTCGGCGGGGAGGGTTTAGGGGATTCGTCGGGATGCGAGGTTTCTGATGTGCTGTTTTACGGTAGTTTGGAGGTTTTACTATAATGGGAACGGATTTCATCTTGAAAGAAAGGGATATGTAAGTGTATGTGTAGTTAGGTTCGATACGTAAAATGGAGCATCTAGTATTTTTCGTCGTATTCAGGACTGGGCCGTTTGAATTTGGTGGATGTTGGAATGTTTGGCTGAACCCCAAATTTTCAGTCCGTAAGTCCATACCGGCTTAGCTATGGTATTGTAAAGCAGCATTTTATTTTTGAGAGATAAATTAGAACTTTTGTCAAGAAGTCATGCAAGAGCTCAATATCGTGTTATAACCTCCTTTCAGTCGTGGTGAGGATTCCACGTCAGGCGTTTGTCGACGTACAGTCCGAGATACACCTTGTCCGCAGTTGGGAGGGGAATATTATTTAAGAAAACAGGCGGGCAGAACATGTTACGTAGAGTGAAGGTAATGTGGGTGCATTTGTCTGTGTTAAATTTTATCCATTTCTTTTTACACCAAGACTCTAGTAGTATGATGTGTTGTTGGAGGTTTCGAGTGGAAATGACAAGGTCGGAGTTGCTAGAGAAAATTATCTACTATCTTATTATCTCATACTGCACAGTTACCTCACTGACCGATTCTTCCAAGTCATCGAAGGCCATTCCCTCTCTGCATATTTCCTTAAAGATGCTGGTGTCCCTCAGGGTAACGTTCTGGCCCCAACATTATGCCAGGTGTTCACAGCTGACATGCCATAACATCCCGAAACCGCTTCATTCACATTTGCAAAGTAAAATAACAGTTACAAAATTAAATTTTTTTACCATTTTGTTGATTCTTTTTCTTTTGAAACTCAATTTCATTCTTACCATCTTAAAAGAAATAACTGTTATTCAAACTATATTTAAAGTAACACTTCAAAATTCGAGAAATTTTTTATTCTGAAAGCTCCTAGAAACATT